TTAGAAACCAATTGGGCCAAGTGTATTTGCTGGGGCGTCACGCTGTCACCCTGCTCATCCTGTCCTCATCATGTTCGTCATCCTCCTCATCCTTCTCCTCGTCCTCCTCCTCCTCGTTTTCCTTGTCCTCCGCCTCCTCCTCCTCCACGTCCTCCTCCTCCTCCTCCGCCTCCCCCCCCCGACCTCGGGCGTGATGGACCATGGGACCTCATGGAGCCACCTGGTAATCCCGGGGGCCTCCTGGGATAGCAACCTCTGGGGACTTCCTGCGGCCTCTTGAAACCTCCTGGGCTCTCCTAGGGTATCCTCAGCCCTCCAGGGGCGTCCGCAGCGTTCTGGAACTTTTGGGTCGTTCAGGATACGCCCGGAGCGTGATGGGACCTCCTGGGGCCTTGCGGGACCTCGCGGGGCATCCTGGGACCTCCTGGGGCGTCCTGGAGCCTCCTTAGTATTCCCACGGCCTCCGGGGACGTCCTGAAGCCTCCTGGAGCTTCCTGATGCCTCCTGGGACCTCCTGGGGCCTCTTGGCGGCTCTCTAAGAAGCCACGCGCGGGGCCTCAAAATTGGCGACAGTTTCAAGGAAGGCGCGGTGGACGTTGAAAAATGACGACATTCACACACTTGAGGCCCAAAACCGTGCCGGGCGCCCCCCCCCGCCATCCCCGGTCCGCATAGTACGGTGCGATTTGCCCCCTCCCCGCTGTCCCGCCGGTCCCCGGGAGGGCTAGTTTTCTGGTTTTCGCTGGTAAGAAACACTTCTCCCCCCCTCTCGGCGGTGACGGAGGGCAGGCGGCGGGGGAGAGCGGGTTGGCGGGGTGGCTGGTTGGGCACGGAGAGCAGGCGGAGGGGATCGGCTGGTTGGCGGGATGACGGGGTGGGCGGTTGGGCTGGTTGGCTGACGGGTTGGCTGGGTGGCGGGGTGGCTGGGTGGGCTGGCTGGCTGGTTGGACGGGTTGGCAGGTTGAGCTGGCTAGGGCAATTGGTTTCGACTACGACTACAACTACGACTACTACGACTACTACGACTACTACGACTACTACTACTACTACTACTACTACTACTACTACTACTACTACTACTACTACTACTACTACGACTACTACTACTACTACTACTACTACTACTACTACTACTACTACGACTACTACTACCGACTAAACTACTAATACTACTACTACTACTACTACTACTACTAAAACTACTATCTACTACTACTCACTAAACTACTGCTACTATTAGTACTACAACTGCTACTACTACTACCACTACCTACGACTACTACTACTACTACTACTACTACTACTACTACTACTACTACTACTACTACTACTACTACTACTACTACTACTACTACTACTACTACTACTACTACTACTACTACTACTACTACTACTACCTACTACTTACTACTACTACTACTACTACTACTACTACTACTACTACTACTACTACTACTACTACTACTACTACTACTACTACTACTACCACTACTACTACTACTACTACTACTACTACTACTACTACTACTACTACTATACTACGCCCCCTTCTTCTACTACTGCTGCTGCGACTACTGGGGCTACGACTACGGCTACAACTACGA